CTTTTTTTAAATTCAAGTCTAAGTTTATTTTTCATTCCGTATAAGGAACGGGGGAAACATCCTGAGAAATCCCAGAAAATAGAACAGAATGAGGACTGGGGAGATGAAAAAAGGTAAATCTTCTTGATCTTTTTTGGGAAGGTTTTACTGATGGTGGGGGATGAGTGTGGTTTTGTTTTAAGCTTCTTGAATATGGAGGAAAGAAATCTCATACTGAACACATAGAGTACTCCTCCTTGGACAGAAAATAAACTTACACGAAGTTCTTCTTAGTAATTATCCAATAATGTAGCCATTTCTGTGTCTTGCTTTACTGAAGTCAGGCAAGTCACTAATGTTTAATTTTTCAGACTTCAGAAAGAACAGCTACTAGCTGAAGATGATGATGAACTCAAAGAAGTGACTGACTTGAGAAAAATAGCAGCTCAGTTACTGCAGCAAGAACAAAAACACAGGTATTACAATATTAGTTAAGATAACTTGTGTTACAATTAATTTATCCTTTAACCTGTCTTATAACCAAAAGCTCTTGACACCTTGAGAACAGTTTTGTCCAGCTGTTAAACAGTTAAAATGACAAACTCTTTCAAGATACCTGTCCTGTCTGTCTTTTCATAAAATTGCTATGTAGAGAAACAGTGACATACCTTTTATGGAGAGGAAGAGTTGAATGTGGAAGTGTATTGATTTCCTGGTTTGATGTATGTTAACTATTTTTTTTATACTTTTTTTTCAAAGCAGTATACATAAGTAGGCATGGTTAATGCTCATGTAAGTAGATTATTGGTAACATGTTAAAATTGCTTTGTCTTGGTTTGTATGAGGTACAGAACCTGCATACCATTTGTTTGTGACTGCTTATTTTTATTCAAATGCAAGGTAATTTAGCTTGTGCTTCCTCCATTCAGTCTGATGCGAGATAGAAATTTCCTATGGACTGAAGGGGAAATTTTTTCAAACATTACTCTGTAAAATGACAGAGCATATATATATTACAAATATATAAAAAAATAAATAATTTGAACAGTCTGAGGTCATCCTGATGAACTGCTTGACTTTCTCTGTTTTGTGTTGGGCATCACAACAGAATGATTCTTGAAAAGGAGCTGTAAAACAAGCAGCAGATTAAAGGAATGTAATAGAGCAAGTTAACAATTGTGTAGAATGAAGAGCAGGAAGGAATACCTGGAGTTGCATAGGATGTGGACAGGCTAGGGTAGGAACTGTTTCTTCTCTGGTTTCTTTACCAAGCAGGCAAATAACCAGTGAGGTATTTTCTCAAGTATAACCTCTTTCCTGAAAGGTGAAGTTGTAGTTAATAATAGTTCATTAAAGTTGTTCATTATCCCATAGTAATGGATTTAACTTCATACCAGCTTAAATACTATTTTTGTTTCTTTTGAATTTGTGTAGGGATGAGATTCTAAGCTGCTGTTTTTCTTTTAAGATGAAATGCAAGTGAAGCCATTAGAAATTGATATCCTGATGCTGTGAATTGCAGAGCTTTAAAAGTTCACCAGAATTTGATATTAGTTAGATATAATAGCAGTAGCGTGTGTGTGAGGAAAAGAGAAAATAAGTTTTACTTACAACTCCATGCAGTCTATTTAAGAATTGGTTGTTCTCATTGGGAAGGGAAAAATAAGAATGAAATCTTAATGCTAATACATTCTTATTACCAAAAGTATTGCAAACAAGGCTAAGAATGTTGAATTTTCTCATATTAATTTATTAACAAAGAGACAATAAGTGTGTTTCTTTTATATTAGGTTTTTATATGACAGTTATTTATATTGCATGTGAGTCTTGATTAGTTTTAATATTTCCTGGTTATCTAATCATTTGAAATACCAAGCCACTCCTCTTCTGAAGTACTGCAACTTGAATTTTACTCATCATACGTTGTTGTATCTTAATGCAGTGATCTTGCTTATGGTTCTGCTTTGCTCTTGAATTGTTCAGACGTAGGCAATCTTATTAGTTATTAAGTTTTACTACTTAGTTTAGCATTTATATTTTAACTCTTGCTTATGTATCTTTAAATACATGAGGGCAAAATTGCCTCTGATATAAAATTTAGCCCTGATTTTTGAATCCACGGTTTTGTGAATTTATAATTTCTTGCCATAAATGGCAATAAGAAAAATATTTAGAAGTTTAGTGAAGATATTTCTGTGTTTATTTGTGGATAATATGTTCAATCTGAGTAAACAGAATCCTCAGAAAAGTGAACATCACGAAATAATTTCTTACTAATCATGCTTCTGTTCATTCAGTGTGTTTTTTTTTTATTTTTAAATATTATGCAGTCTTCTTTCTTTTTGCTTGCTATGCTAATGACTTCCCTGTCCTCTCCCATCAACCTGTCCTGCTTCCTTCTTCCGTCTTTGGCTTTGGTGTACATGAAATGTGAATACAGACGAAGGCCATTAAGCTATAGGACTTCATTCAGTGAGAAACTCTTCCAGAGGACAAGGGCGGCAGGACGTGCATCAAGGTATAAAGTGTTTGTAGAGCTTCAGTTTTCCAAAGTTAAAATGTGGATAAAAGAAACAATTTTGGCCATTTCTTGAACAAAAACAGAATAAAGGGTTACTGAATTGGCTAAGTTAGCGTAAGGTATTTTGTTATCAAAAATAAATTGCAGTGCATTTATTTAAGATTAAATACTATTTAAGGAAAATATTTAATTAGGCAACTCTCCAAAGAATGCTTAAATGAGTCCAAACCTAGAAGCATAATTTCGTGTACCTTTGGCATGCTTTCTCTTCAGTTTTTTCGTCTTCTGATACATAATACCTCAAGTATAGAACCTCAGGCAAAAGTTTTTGGTTTTATTTAAGATATCTTGGTTTTGAAGTGATCGCTTTCAAATTAGCATGACCAGTGACAATTTGTTTTGCATTTGACAGCCATGAGGGAAGCATTTGCAGATACACAAACCTCACAGGTAACAAGAAATCTGGAATGGGCTGTGTAAACTATGCTCAGACATGTAGGTGATGAATCAAGTGATTTCGGACTTTGTTATCCTATCAGCTGAAACACTGTAACTTACTCTTGGATACTCCTGGTCCTTTTCGAAAGAAAATAGGATAGCTTAGGTTAAATACTTTTTATTAGTACCAAATGAGCTTGTTTCAGTTTGCATCAAAGTATGGGTTCTTACCTGACAGCAGTGACTTCCTAAAACTGTCTGATTCTCTAAGAGCACAGCTTACAATCACAAAGTAGAGCCATATGCAAAGACAGACTGCCTGAGTTTAAAATCCATCATTTTTTGTCTCACTGTAAAAGATTTCTAGTGTCTTTATACACTTTATAGATCCTATGTAGTGCTTGCTTATTTGAACTTGAAGATAGCTAACCTTAAAATACCATTACCATCATTCACTTCGTTTGTGTCTCTTAATCATGATATTATATTTGCTCAGAATATGAAAGTATAAGTGACTGAGTAGAGATTCCACTTTTTAAATTCTCAGACTTTAGAAAATATTTTCCAGTATCATAATTGGTATTGCCATCGCCTTTCTCTCCCATCTGGTCAGCAGTGTGGAGTAGATAGTATGCTTGCGTGATACAAAAATAGAAAAATTAATCACGATGTTTTTTAAGTTTAATATATAAAAATGTGTCATTGTGTGCTGTTGAGTAATTTACATTTCAAAGTTTATGCGTTTTAGAACCCTTTCAAAGTAATAGTTTGTATGCTAGCTCCGTAACAACTTAATTTGTGTGGTTAGGAAATTAATTGCAGTATTAACACAAGTGTCTTATGCAAGTTCTTACTTAGTACTTATGAATTATGACCATCAGTAAGTAATTGGCCTGACAATTTATCTAATAACAAGAAAGGTTTGGATTTAATGACTTGTAGTATGAATGGAAACAGTTGCTGAAATCCTTGTACCATTAACACCACACTTAAAAGAGCATGACTTCTGAATATGAACTATTAGTACTTTTACATACCCGGTTTTGCATTGTATTTCCTGGAAGACAGTTCTTAATGTAACTACTGCTGAACAAATTATTTTGCCATGAATTCCTTAGTCTGCAATTTAGTAAATTCAGATTAATTTTCTTCACGATTTTCTTTAACAAAAAACTTTCAAGTTACTTATTGCACAGGAAATTCAGATTTCTCTGACTGGGCCAGTAACTGCTAACCTGACAGATACTGAACTTGCAGTTACTTCCTCATCCATAATCTTAAGTTTTTAAACAGGAAGGTTCAAAAATGATTGATTGTATTTGTTTTTGTTTTACAAAGTATAAAAACATACATAGTTTGCAGTAAACTTAGTTTATAATAAATTCAAACAATATATATTTCATAGAAACAGTGTAGCTGAAAAGTGTGTGTGTATATATGTTTGAATTAGCTTGAGTAGTTTTTCTTTGCATTTCATATAATTAGTTTAAAAAAGAAATGGCCTGCATTAAGTACAATCGTGGAATTTACACTGATAGTGTCAGTTTTGGTGCAAATGTTGTACCAAACTGTTCAGATGACTCGCATGTCTGTCTTTTTTTTTTTTTAAAGTTCATTCTATTGTAACAGTCACATCTTGCTACAAAGTCTCTCTGAATTTCTCATTGCTTTCACTTGAAGACATAAGGCTAATTTAAATGGGAATTCTCTCTAAAAATTAATTACTTTAAAATAGCATGTTTATATTATGGTTTTATAACCTACGCTCTGAATATTATTTTTATAACAGTGTTTTCAGGCTATAGTATAACTTAATTCTGGAATGCACCCTCAAAATTAAAGTTTCTGAAGAAAAAATATAGGGAGCAGATGCTGCAAACTGTGTTGGTTTACAGGCTTGACTTCTCATAATCCCATTAAATTGAGGTTCACACAGTGAGAGATTTAAACTACAAATGAGATGACTGAGCTCAAATTTATCACAATAATCAGAGAAGTCTGAAAAACCATCAATCATTTAAAGTTAATAGTTGTACTGCCCTATGTAATGATAATGAAATATAACAAGGTGCCTACTGTTTTACTCTCTTTTGTTGAGTAGTTGCTATTCTAATTCTTTCTGATTCTTAATACATTCTAGCTCTCTGTATAATTCAGCATAAATATGCTTTGATCAGTTCTGCACATGAAGTCATTGTTGAAGTGTAATATTACTACCTCCGAGAATTCAGAATTATTAATTCTAGTTACTATTCAACATGACACTTGAAAATGTTTAATTTCAAGCGTTACTGATTGTTTTGTTATTTTTAACACTTTAAACATCCATAATAGCTCATATCTTCTTGCTGTGTGTGCACATGTGTGGTATGTGTTTGTTCCAGATGAAAAAACTTCTCTAAATCTCTATATAAGTTTAGGCTTTTAAAACTGTTTACCATTTAGAAAAATGGAATTTCCATTGGTTCATTTCTGCATTAGACTTTTCATTTAGTTCTTAGCCAGTGTTTCTCCATCTTTCTACCTCTCCTTTTTCCCCCTACACTTCCTTTGCACTTGCAGCGTTTCTTAGTCAGCTACCTTCTTACCTGCTCCTACTGACTGACTACTTGTGCTCAATCTGTGTATCATTTCTTGTTTGCTTTGTGTCTTCTAATTTTATTGAACAGTGGGGCCTTTTGTGTTCAGGGCAGCATAACTTTGCACAGGTGTGTGATCAACTGAAATAGTATGTGTTCAGGGAGAAAAAGAAGAAGAGGCTTCATTTTGGTTTGAATTTTCATCAAGTTTTATTTCTTTAAAATTCAGAACTTGAAATATTTCAAGAGCTGGGAACAATATTGTTGATTTAAATGGAAGCAGGATTGGGCTTGGATTTCATATGTGTACACACATACATATTCTAATTTTATTGAAAACGTCACCTTAATGTTCAAAACTTTTTTATTTACAGGAAATGTTATGCAGTGATAGTAACATATGTTCTAAGAAAAAGGGTTTAACTCAAAGCTGTTGAATAAATATGTATTATTTTTCTTTCTAGGCTTCTTAATCATTCAGTTTCAGTAAGCACAAGGAACAGGCCAAAGCAGCCAATGGAATCTGAAAAATGGTATTGATGTACTTAAATTTATCACAGCTTTCAATATTTTATTAATTTTTTTATATTTATTCTGTGTTGCTGGTGCCATCTTCTGTCATGTTTTTAGCTCAAGATGAAATAGAAGCTACACAAATAATCTGTTCTTGAGCTTCTTTCTTTCAGATTTAAAAAAAAATTAAAATCTGTACTTTTGAACCTGTAGGGAGGTTGATGTCCAGAAACTAATTTGTGAGTCTGATTACAGCAGCAATTCAGGTGCATAAAAATAGACATTCAGTGATGTTTTAGACATCCAGTTCCAGTCCAGAGGGTCATGTGTCCCATAGGTAACAGTCCTGTGCAGATGTGTTACGTAAAATGGCACTAAATTTCCCTCCTGGCAGTCCTTTTGTGCTTTTGAGAGCCGTTGGAAAAGTGTTGCTGGGAGTTCAGCCTGCAAAACCTTTACTGTTTGTGGAGGATGTGTCAATGAGGAATCCGTTGTCTGCAGGAGCTGTACTCTTATGCTCTTTCTTTGAATAAAAATAACCCACTACAAACCAACAACAAACAAAAATACCCAGAGCCTTGTCTTTAGGAAATGGGGAAGTCGCCGCTTCCAATTTCTGACTACGTGGGTGGGAGAGAACTTAGGAATTTTTCAACCCTCCCTTCCTTAAGAAATCCTAGATCGGTTCTTTTAATCAGTTGGATCAAGAAATACTCTATTTTAATTTTTAAGCTGAAGAGGGAGAGCTTGCTGGCAGCCTCCTAACAAGAACTCCATTCGAGTGGTGGCTTTTGTGACTTTTTTGTCAGTGCCGTAGTCTTCTAAAATCTATACGTTCAAAAGAATCAGTACCTGCTTGTGTCCAGACTCTAGTTTTGCTGTGAATCTTAGAAACAAAAACCCTAACTGCTTTTGGTGTTGCTGGAGAGCACTGGGGGTGGTAACGGCTCTCTGCAGTTCGGGTACACATCAGGAAAGCATTTACTGGAACAGAAAAGGGATACAGTATAAGATATTTCAATCTGATACATCCTGCTTTAGCTATCTTCTCTCTCACTGGTATCTGTGGTTTTAAGGAGCTAGTTGTGCACATGTGCTGTGGTTATATGCACCGTGCTGCAACTATTATTCATTTGCATTTGGAACTTTCCAGTCCTTGGTTGCTTAACATACAGTTTCTGTCCTTTGGGATGCTGTCACCTCTTGTAGCATACAGCTATGTTAGGCCTTGATATTATAGGGTAGTCCAGGAAAGGTTAAATTTACCTTTCCTCATTTTGTTGACGAAACAGAAACAGTTCTGAGACTTAAAGCCAAAACAAACAAAAAACCAAACAAAACAACACCCCCCAAAAAAACCCAAACACTCCCCATCCCCTTAACTTCTGTTCACACCTCAAAAATAAGGTAGATACTGCAGGCTGTTTGTTGTTTTATTGCACAGATGTGTAGGATGCCAAATCACACACTGCATAAGCAATATGCAAAGAGAGTAGAAATACTGTCATATCCCTGAAGAATTTACACTTATAGAACAAGTTATAATTAATAGATACATATGTATCAACAGCAAAACTCAGTTATTTATTGCATCAGTTGCTGCAATTCTCAACTGGATTGCTTATCAAGCTATTGGATAGGATTCAAATAAATTTGCTGTGCCTAACTGCTTTAAAAAGTAGCATTATTGGTTTGAGGCAAACAGAAAGAAAGAGGAAGGGAAACGAATACAAAATAGCAGAAGCTAAGTGCCTAGTTGCTTTCCTTTTAGGATTTATTGTAATTGCTCATGGTGTTTTGTCCTTCTTGCATTCAGTCCCCAGCTGTTAGCCTTTTGGTATACCACACAACTTCTAAGCTAGCTGTCAGAATGTGAATAAAATTGTTGCTGGTAAGGTGATAGAAGCGAATTTCACAGAAAGATTTAGAAAGAAAAATTTGCAGTGACACTAAATCTAAACATTTTTATTTTCTTTAAGACTTTGAACAATCTCAGGCAGTCCATGTTCCAGAGTGTGTTTTTTGAGATTTTGCGGTTTCACTGTCCCATTTTAAAATGTTTTTCCCTTCCCTATTAGTATAAGCTTCTACTTTACTCTATAGAGATAACAATGAAATGAAGCACGTGAGTCTTCCAGAAGTTTAACAATAGATCTCTTCTGAGCTTTGAACAAAATGTTTCATTGGTTGCTTTGAGAAATAAAATGATGAAGATGCATTAGTAATCTCTAAAGATCAACATGCTTAAGAAAAAGCTTTTTCTGAATAAAGTATTGTAGTGTGGAAGACTTATCATCAGTATAAGGTAAGGAGAGTGAACTATGATCTGAGATTTTAGTCAAATGGTCATACTTTTTAGCCACATTGTGACATCCTTATACAGGTAGCCAAAAAATACTGTAGTGCTGCAGAGAACTTGCTTTTTAAGTGTTCACTTCTTTGATATTTTAAAGTACACAAACAGTAGTAAATTTCATAATGCCTCTCCATCTTAATTTTTAGTGTCTCAGCAGATGGAATGAATTCCCCAGTGTCCCCATACAGCTGGCAGGTAAATACTCAAATGTAAATGTAGTGGCTTCATATTTGATTGATTTTTTTTGTTTTGGTTTGGTTTTTTGGTTTCCTATTTCTGACAGAAGGCTTTTATACATTCATATGGTTGCTTATACACATAGCTATTGTATGTATGTAATTGTGGTGGAAAATATAAAACCTTTGAAGAACTTATGCTTCAAGATAATTTGACTTGCAATGGAGGCCTTTTGTTTTAAGAGCATATGGTACTAACTTTAAGATCTTGAAACTAATGAGACGTAAGTTTTACTTACTTGGTTTTAGTATTTCTTTACATATAAATTTTATTGTCTCACCATAATGTTCTTTATAAAAAAAATTCTAAATGGTTTGAGTTATGTAGGCCTTTCATTCCCCATACCTCACTGAGAAGCTTGCATGGTACGATAAAATTGCAGTGAAAAATGTAGAGAGTACTTTATTTTAGATTTTAATCCATCGGGTATTTACAACTGCTTTAAATGGTCTGATATTCTAATATGAAGCAGAAGTTGGAAATGTAGTTTTAGCCTTATGAAATGGTTCCTTCAGATTGTCTGCTTTCCATTTTCATAAAATAAACATTCATACTTATTCATTGTTATTTTAAGACTAAATCTACTTTAGTTGTCTCTTGAGAATATATTACCTAATACAATACTTTGAAAGAGAGATTTCTTTTACAGCTAGTTAATGTGTGTAATATTTTAGATGGGAACAGCAGACAAATACTAAAATTGTCTTGTCGCCATTCTTTTCCTGTGCGATGAGTATTCAGATTGAGAAATTAGATATGCTAGTGGCTAACCACACTTCTAACTGTTTTTTTAAGTTATTTACGGCAGCCTTAGGTGGCTTCCTAACATACCTGCAAAAATTAGGCTCAATGCAGAAGAGAGTGTTATTTTCTTAAGAATTATTTAAATGATTCTTTTTCTTCTGTGAAATGCATTTCAAGATTTGAAAGGAAATAAGTGATTTCTACCAGAATCACCATTAAGACTGATAACGCTTTCATATTATAAAGATAGATTATGAGAGAGGCAAACAATTCATAATTGTAGTTCATAATAATTTGTGTTAATGCACATGAGGTATATTTACATTTTACGTAAAAATATTTCTGAACCTTCTAGCCACTGGAAAACCAGAAGGATTCAATGGATGAGCAGCATTGGCCAGAAACACAGCCAGTGATTTGGCAGAATGAAGAAAGAAGGAGAAGTAAACAAATTAGAAAAGAGTATTTCAAGGTAATGGCGGGGAGTGTGAGTGGGTGACACTTTTTAGTAAGAGTAGAAGAAACTAGGTAACTAAGTAAAGGTAAGAAAACCTCAAAGGTTGTCATGCTTTTAATTTTGCATGTAACCTGTAATTTTTTATTTGGCTCTTTTGAGTTAAATAATACATATGTATGTATTTAGGGTAACATGAGAGTGCAGGAAAATTCGGAGGAAAAAATTGACTAAAGACTTTGTTTGTCCTTTAAATAAAAGAAAGTAATTTACAATTGTTTTCTGGTAAAGCCAGAAACTAATCTTCAGTCATTGGTCCTTCCCCCTCTATTTTGAGGGATTATTTTTTTTTGTAGTGCAAGGAAAATGTACATTATCTCTTTGTGCAGCACGATTATAAGAATGACTTATGCATTTTCGTTCTCACTGCCTTAGTTTGCATTTTAGAGAGGAAGTTTTCTCTGTATTACTTTACTGCTGTAGTGTATACCATTGGTCACCAGATGTCAGTGTCTGCTTATTGCAAAACAGATAGGAACTTACAGTAGCATTAGATGAAACTTGTTTTGGAATATAATAGAGAAATAGGAGAATTCTGACCACTGCTAAGTTGAGTTAAAATTAAATTTATCACTTATGAAATTAGTTTCTTGGATCTTTGCCATCAAACATCTTTATGAAATGCTAGGGAACTTCAAAGAAATTAAATTATAGGAAAAACAGCATGCCATACAGCTCAGATACATTCTTGTGATTATAGAAGCTATTTATTTTTTTTTTCCTGAAGAGTTTATGGAGTTGTATCCTTTTTCCAGGGTTTTTATCCCTGAATTAACTTTGCCTTGTAACCTTTGTGTGGAAGATGAGAAACTTCTAAGTAAAACAGAGTTCAGTCATTTGACTCATGAAACAGCTGCGTTATCAATACAGAAGACCTGCATTAGTGATTGCTAATAACTTTAAGGGATATCTTTAAATGCTAATACAGATTTCAGTTTTGAGCCCTGTGATTAAAACGGATACCTGAAACCACGTTACATAGAGCTATAAATGTGTCTCAAAAGTGAATTAAACAGGCTGTGCTGATAACCAAAAATAGTGTGTCACTGATAGTTTCATTTGCAGAAACAAGGCAATAAGCAAGGGAAACAAAGTCTGTCTCTCATGGCAAACTGGGAAAAAAAGAATAGGTACCACTGCTGTTCTGAGAAACCAATGAAAATTCAGTTCATATTGTGTCCATGTTTTCTTGGCAAAAATGCTCATTGAAGAATCATATCTGTACTGCCAAACAGTAATATCTTAAGAATACATGCCAAATCACTGCAATGGGTGTCATTAGAACACGTAACATTTAATTGGATTAGCATCCAGAAGTATTTATAGAGCGTTTTTATTATACATAGTACATATTTTTATTGTGCAATTGTACTGTGCAGCAGAAGGGTAAGAAAATACTTGTGAGAATCAAAACTCCTTTTCTTGTGGCATTGGACTGAAGTCTCGCTGGAACTTGAAATCTTTGTTGCATTAAATATGTAAAAAGAATCTTACTACTGAAGACTCTCCACCCCCCCTAAGAGTTTGTAGTTGTTTTGGATCCTAGCTATATCCAAGCTGAAATTCTTGTTAGCATATCCACAGTGTAAAAAATTACTACATACTAGGTTTGATATGGTTAATTATGGTGGAAAAACATGAACACAGAACTGGCCAAAGGCCTGTGTAAACAGAAATCTGCAGCAGAGGTCTGCAGGGCATAGAAAATTAGGCTTTGCCTTACTAGCTGCCAAAGTAATGTGTTCTTTTGTACTGCAAACATACAGGAAATAAACCCAAGAAGAGAAATATCCAGTCATGGATATATGTAGTAGGTCTCTGTCTGACTCCAGAACTACCTGTGCTCTGCATATAGTTTAAAAAAAAAAAAACACCACCACCAAGAACCCAACAAAATAACAACCAAAAAAAAAATAATCCACCCCCCTGCCCCAAAACCCCTCAAACAAACCAAAAACTGAAAACAACAAAAGAATCCCACGAACCAACAACTGACACTTTATTCAATCCCTCCTTCATTTCCTACACTTTTAGGATAATCAGGAAGTAGGACAGTGATGAAAGCAATGTGCAGCAAGTCAGACCTGTGGAAAAAGTGCTGGTCTTAAATAGATAAAAGGATGTGATCAGGCTTTGAAGTTGTAAAGGAAATCTTGATTATTTTTAATTTAAATTTTTACAGTGTCAAGTCAATCTGTCAAAGTGTAAGCAATCTTAAAGTTACATAGCAAAACATATTGTAAAAGTAACTTTCACAGGTTGCATAGTTTTTTCTAACAAATAATACTTCAGAGTAGCAGTTGTTACGATCTTTTCACTTGGATCAACTGTCATATGTAGTCAGAGCTCACACTATAGAAGTGATTAGTTTTAAAATCCTCTTATCCTCTCATCAACATAATGAAGATCTTGACTAATCTAGAAACTACTTCCTTTTCTGTTTTGTTTCCTTTTAGCACCTTTGATTCTATAACATGTTTTCTTTCTCAGCAGCTTCACCAGTAATAAGTAACATCTGAGTGATATCAAGCCATTTAGTTCAAATGAAAGCCATACTTCCATTTTAAAGTAATAATTGTGTGTGTTTTACAGTATAAGTCTTCCAGAAAGAGTTCAAGTGGAAATGAAAATGATGAGGTGAGAAATAGTAATTGTGTAAAATATTTAAGAAAACATTTTATTCATTTGTCTTTTATGAACACCTACAAGTCACAGTCACAGAACAAACTTTGCATTCCAAAGCCATAGGAGAAATAAGTATTATACTCCTTTTTATTTGGAAAAAAGTCATCAAGATTGTGTACTAGGGAAAAGTAGGACATTTACTTGCTTCAGTAATAGGAAAGTTAATTCACGTATCAAACAGAGGTCATGTGAAAGTAATAGTCGACATAAACAGTGAACAGTGTTTCCTTGACTTACATGTTTTTAAATTTAGTTGCTGCCAGTTTGTCGCACACTTGACAAATGTTGCCTGTCTCATGTATTATGTATTTCATAATTTCATGTTTCTTGTTAAATCATGATTTTCTTTTTTGTAATTTCATCTCTTTGATTTCTTTTTAGCAAGACAGTGATAATACTAATGTGTCCCCACAGTCTCCTGTGTCATCTGAGGTACAAGTTTGTGGTTTTGTTTTTCATTCAACAAACATTTCTTTGTGTGCATTACTTGTCACCAGGTTTTCCATGCAGGTACAAAGGTGTTATTTTCCTTTGAAACTGCAATTAGAAATATTTCATCATAATAAAAATTCAAACAGAGATAGAAATTAGAGACAGGTATTACAATTTGTTTTACCTTTGCAACCATCTGATCTTTCCTGGATTTCTTCTTTTTGACTGATGTGTAGAAAGGTACATTGCTTTGTCTTCATAATCTTTCCTAATTAAAATAGCTAGTAAAACAAAAATAAAATTTGCTGTATTTTGTAGGTGTCTCCTATGCGTTAGCCATTCAGAGGATTTTAAGTAAAACTTGTGGTTTAGTATTTTATATATCACAGGGGGAACCCAAAGGTACTGACACTTCTTAGAGTTTCATCCTTTACGATTCTGGCTGGCACCTTTGTGGTACAGCCTGGCAACTTGATTCACTGGTTGCCTTCCTTTTTGAGGAATGTCCATATAGTCTCACTGTGGCTGAGGTCTGAATAAAGCATACCAAAGAGTATTAACGTTTCCACCTCATGTCCATAAGGAACCTGAGGGAGCAGAATGAGAACATCTCCCAAATACAGTGAAATTAGTCACAATAAGGATGTACATACCAAATTACTGAGTGCATCTCTCTTTTTAGATGGTGAACTGAGAAAACCTGATCTTCATAATTGAAAGTAAACATTTCTTAAGAAAGATTTTGATGCTAAGCATTGGGAGGATGTTTGCATTTGCTTACAGCTGGCTTGGAACTCTGTTCACAGAATGGTGTGCAGTAGTTTAAAATCGTTTAGGGCAGATTTTAGTTAATCTGGTGCTGCTTTTCTTCCTCAGTAAGATAATTTTATCTGCATGTAGTGAGGTTACTTTCATTCCATTTATTTTATACTGTCTCCTTCAAAAGAGTTTGTTACAGTTAAGCAGAAGGACTCACTTTTCTTAGGCAGGAATAATTTAAACACTGTCTTGATGGTAACAAAAGTTAATTCTTTTAATGAATGGAAGAAAACTGACTTTATCTCTTTTAACAGGATTATGAAAGGACAGATAGTAACACTCATGGTCCTTTTGGTCTCAAACCAAGGTCAGGTAAGCTGCTGCTCTTTAACATAGCATGATAGAACAGATGTTTATTTCCCAGACTGGAATAGATGGTAAGGATAGCAGATGCATGAATGGGAACGAATACGAAGAGATGCCACAGTACAGCAATCCAATCAGTGTACTTACCACAAGCATAGTACTGGGAAAGACATAGACACCTGCTTTGGCAGATGAATAATTGAAAATTCCCCAAGTTGCACAGTGATTTTTTTTCGATTAATTTTTAATTTTTTTTCCCCACTGATTTATTTTGTGCATATTTAGTCCCTATCAAAGAACGGGGAACTGGCATGCAGTTATTCTTGAGATCTGATGGCTGAGGCAGGAGGTTTTCAAGATAAGTAGATTTTTGTAATTTGTCCTATGAAAGGATGCTTTGAGCAGAGCTTTGCCAAGAGTTTTGTGACTTAGTGCTTTGTTGCACCCTGACTCTTCCAAGACTTTTGCCATACCCTCATAAGAAAGTTGTATTGTCTAAAGCAGACTTTCAGTCCTCTGAAATCTAGGTAGAAACAAATTATTTTTTATTGCAGTTACAGTATTCTTTTGTTTGCAAGTACCTGTATGAATTTTGGATATCAACAGTGTAAAACATAGTTTGGAAAAGCCACTGTGCAATCCTTTTTCCAGTTAATACCACTCTTCTCTGTTTTTAAGGGAACAGTCTTTGTGTAAATTCATTAAGAAAGAATTATCTCAATTCTTCAGTTTAATTTCATTCGGTGTTTATGGTAGCAAAGCTTCATGTCCTTAATACTAGCCTGTGAGCCCTTGGTAGTAGAGTATGTGTGGCTGAGGTCATGCAAGTGGCTTCTTCAGGGCCCTTAAGTCACTTGAGATTTATAAGCAGTTGTGTGAAACTTCTGTGCCGGAGAGAGGTTAGTTCCATGTACCAGGACATGCCTGGCTGTGATCGTTTAGAGGCTTCTGAGTTATCTACATCCTTGGCTGCAGGAAAGCAGGCTTGTTAGGGCTTCTCAGCCCATCTTTTCTCAGTGCAGTAACAGGCTTCCTAGGAGCCACTGCCAGCTGACGTTCATAAAACAGCAGCACTCCTTCCACTCAATTCTAGGAAAGTGAGTGGCATTTTGTTCCTTAGTTACAAGCCAAAATCTTTGTGGTTTTAGATGCTTCCATAGATACTGTGTCCGTAACATGCAGTTGTATTTTTCTGTATACAAACTACATAGTCTCATAATGTATAAAATCAGAGCAGTCATTTCAAGAGTATCTATAAAATTTCTGTTATTTTTGATTGTTAGATCTCTTGCTAAAATCCAAACTATTAGAAACAATATAGAAAGTTCTAAAGGTGTAAGTATGGACTTTTTTTGCTCAAAAGCATGGGGTAAAATACTTAAGGATACAGTGGTATTGCTACAGAAAAGTATTTATTTACCAGTGTTCTATGAAATAATAGAATTGTCATATGAAGGCTTTCTGACCATGAGGAATAGTGAAGTAGATGTGATTATTTAACAGACCTCCTTTTTAAAGAACAACTCTGAACTTTTAGATGAGACATTTTGTATTTTTCACTTAGTTCTTTAATGAGCAATGACTTTGTCTCTGCCTATGCACACCTAACACATGCACATGTGTAGGTGTATATATATACACATATATATTTTAAGTCTTTGATTGTAAGTTATATCAGGGAGTTCTGTCCCTTTTTTAGTCTCCATAAAGACTTTATACTTGATTAAAAGTAAAACACAATGAAAATACTGTAAAGGTAGGTTGCAAGATATGCTTGGAAAAGTGCAAATGGAGTTGTATATCTCAAACAGTTATCCATTTGCACTTAAGTAGGATGATCTGTGTATTTTATTTGAAAGATAAGTTTCACAGACAGCGTCTTTTACATCAGGATACTTAAATATATTTGCTCTGAAAAGTTCTGCAGCTTTTTGCCCATTTTTATCCCTGGTGGTAGCTTTTTGGTCATTACATTTTTTTAAATCTGAATTCTGAAAACTAACTTCATTAATATCTAATAGCTTTCAGCCGTGCATCACGCCAGGACTATGGTGCAGTGGATCCTGGATTTACAATGAGGAGGAAAATGGAGCATTTAAGGGAAGAAAGGGAACAAATAAGACAGCTTCGCAATGTATGTATCGTTATTTACTATATGGGTGCAGTGCATTTAGTTTGCTCTGTATCACAATTTAAATCTTTATAATAAAGGCCTGCAAATCATTACAGTTGTACAAGGGCATCTCTGTAGTGGTATTTCTTCCTAAGGAATTTCATGTAACAGGCTACTCTGATACTATTTTTGGTCCAACGAAAATAGCAACCAGGAACTAAATAGGGTTTTTCAGCTGAAAAATTAAGTGAAATGAAAAATAAATATTTTTTTTTAGGTTTCTGAGGTTTTAGGTTTTCCTAGGGAGACAATAAGTCTGCTTATGTTTGCTGCTATTTGACCTGAGATTTGACGAAAAATGGTCATAGTCTTCTGAGTAGCCAAATGCTTTTTGAGTGTAGAAAGTTTCTACAAGTTACACAATACTGAATGGGATCTAAATTTCAGACTTCCAGTAAGTTGTTTTCTGTATAGTTCTGTTCTCAAGATACTTAACAGTTACGGTTAACTAAATCATAGCAGCTTTGATTACCAGGACAGTACTGATTTGGAGTGTAACTTCTATGAAGGCTGTCTTGTTTCGTTCACTTCCTCAGCAGTGAAGGTTTGTTGCTGGGGCGGGAAAAAACATTCCCTCCTTCCCTTCTCTGTTCTGCAACACAAAGTAGCTGCACACTAACAGCTGAGATATTCGGCCTAACATTTCTGTGCTTAAATTCAGTGCTTTCCTATTATGAGTAATGAGTTCATTGTATGGCTTTGAGAGCTATGTATCATGGTAGTTGTTGGCTGAATGTCTTTCTCAATGTATGTAGTTGTGTCATTAAAAAGCAAAGGGAATATAAGGTTAATAATAAGGAGAAAGGATATTTGTACTTAGTGAAGTATGAGTTGACTCCATTTACTTCACCTTAGTATTAAAATGTCCCTTTTAAACTGAATGCTTTAAAATACCCTGGATTTAAAAATAAAAATTAGTTAATGTTGAAAGTAACTTACTTATGGACTTTTTAATAGAATCTTGAATCAAGGTTAAAAGTAATTTTGCCAGACGACATTGGAGGAGCATTGATGGACGGAGTAGTTCTTTGCCATTTAGCCAATCACATAAGGCCACGTTCTGTTGCCAGCATTCACGTACCATCGCCAGCAGTGGTAAGTCATTTATCTCACTTTAGTTGCATCTTACGTGAAAACAAGCTTTTGAGTTCAATACTAAAACATCATGAATTGTGTTTACCATATTAATTGGCTACATTCCTTATTTCTGTTTTTCTACAAGAAGCATTAAACAAGGCTCAGAAGTTTAGTTTAAGAGCTATTTTCATATACTGAGTCTTCACAGAATTTGTTCTGTGTTTTAGCAACTGTAACTGAATTTACGTCAGAAATATACAATCCTTCATGAATGTATGATGAAAATCTAACATCCTGTCTTTACAGCCTAAACTCAGTATGGCGAAGTGCCGAAGAAATGTTGAAAACTTTCTTGATGCTTGTAAAAAGTTGGGCGTTCCACAGGTATACCAGTTGCTTTACTGACTTATTAATAAACACAGAAAATGTCAGCAAATACTGAAGCTGGGTTTTTTGGGGGGCTTAATTCAGGGAGTAGTAGTGATTATAACACTGACCAGTGAACTTGAAGATATGAAAAGAAGTCCCATTTCTGGCCTGTGGTATGAACTCGAGGAAGCTGCTTTGTGGGTTTCTAGTCAGTTCCTTATAGTAAAATAATGCTGACCTCCTTGTAAAATAAATTATCATCTAAACAAAAGAACTGATGCAAGAGGATGTTGTAATATTTGAAAATCTTGAGTTTAGCAACTCACTTTGGCATGAATTTCAGTGTCTGCCTAGGAAAAATCCTTCAATTACAAAAATATGTAGCCTAACTGATTAACTATCTCTTTTTAGCATGGCTGTAGTTGCAGCCCATTATTCTTGCTTCTGTTGCCCAAGTTCATCCTCTTCCCTGTACAGGGAGGAGGGAACCTTAAATATCATTTCCTGCATATTACAAGAGACAAGAAACTCCCTCGAGTCTTTTTGGTGGAAGAAAGTTAGTTTGTGGGTTTAGAAGCCTGGGTTACTGCTCTGCCACACCTTCTGTCTAGTGTGGAGCCACAGGCCAGTCAGAAGTTAGAGATGCTAAGATTTATCTCCTGAACTCAATGTAAAACCAGTTAGCAGTTGGGAAAATTGTCCAGCTTGTGCTGAATTTTGAAACTGAAAGATGACTTTCTTGGGGAATGGCTCGCTACTGAGGACCACCCAGTCTATCAGCACTTCCAAGTTTTCCCAAGGGAAAAATTGGTAATAAGCATACAAAACAAGAGAAGGGGGAAGTAGGTCACTGAGCCAACAGGGTCCATCAGCCTGTTTTTCTCGCTCTGCTTATGAAAAGAAACAGAGTGTTTGGCTTTATGAAGTTAGCAGTCTTTTATGTATCTTCTGGTGTTGTCATAGGTTAACACTTTAAACAGATCTTAGATATAATTAGTTTCTGACCATTCTGTTACTGTAGAGAATCCCATGCGAAATTTAAGGCAAAAGACATTTTGTATGCAAATATTTTCTAGTGATGTATGTGTGACTTGCAGAGAGAATGTGTTTGTTACCTGCCTCGGGGGGAAAAAAAATGAACAAAGTTTGATACACGTGCTGCTTTATTTTGCAGGAGAGACTTTGCTTGCCTCATCACATTCTGGAGGAAAGGGGTCTGGTGAAGGTTGGCCTCACAGTTCAAGCTCTGCTTGAATTGCCTGCATTGAAAATATCTCAGCTTTCCTCCATGTGACATGACTTCTTGGAAACTAGACAACTTACCATTCGATCTGTTGATTTGGATTGCTCCGAGGCAGTTCAGCTTCCTATGTGGAAACATCCAAGCCATCAAAAACTAATATCTGTCCAGATGCTGTAGAGAGCCTTACTTTGGAATTGTATGTGAAAACCTTGGAGTCAGCTGACAGTTAAAAGAACATAATTACTCTTTTTTCTTTTGTAATTGGATGCACAAAGAGATTGTGGTAGCATCAGATTCTCTTTCCAATTAATTTTTAACTTAAAAGCTGCCATTTAACATCTCAGTGTTACAATTAAATGCTGGATTTCTTTTCCTACATTGAAAATGTTGTTTGAATTATTTTAGAAGTACAAAGCACACCCCCCTCACTTTAATCTTTCAAGTCAATCATTTGATTTAAAGGTAAGACAAAAATGTAGCGATGGTATGATGGTAAAAATGCGAGTGACTGATCACTTGTAATCCACTTTCATTCTCTCAGAAAGCTTAATATTTGTGTTCCTCAGTTTTTGCACTCCTGATTGTAACTTACACACTTCTAATGTTGCCAGTATTTAGTCTGAGTGTATGGTGATTACACAAAACAGTATACAATGGGAAAAGGACACATTTTATTGAGTTTTTTCCAGTCTTCTAGGTTGGTGCCAAATATTTTTTTTCAGTTGTACTGTAGATTGTTTACATGTGAAGTGCCTGTGTAATTGATAACTCTTAATAGTCTTAAACATTTTTGAAATTTCTTTGTTTAAAATAGATAAAATGGAAATTTTTAAATATTTTAATAGTTTTTTGTAAAATCAGTATGTGAAGATTTAAGTAATACTTCACATTTTTGATGTTGGGTGTTTTAAGTTTGCACAATTGATTATTTTGTTGTCTAATAATTAGAAAATACTGTAAATACTTTTTATTTATGATATTTAATTTGATAATACCTAATCACTTTTGGTTTAATGTATTGTTGGACAAAAAAAGTTGTCTACTTTTATTTGTTTGGGACAAACAAATATAAACAGTGAGTAGGACATGAGGACTAGTGATGCATACAGAGTAATTTAGGACATTTTGATAAAACTGCCAAAATCTCAGGTTTACGCTGTGACTTTCAGGATTTTGTGTAATATTGCTCCTGATCTCACATTACGTTTTTACAACAGGTATATCCATAATTTAGTTGGGAAATATCAGTGTTTATCTTTTTAGTGTTTACAGGATTTATTGTGTAATTTACACAAGTGTGGCATAGCACACAAATCAGTTTGTATAAATGTCACTGTGCTGAGAGATTTTTCTGGATAAATGTGAAAAAGAAAAATTTCCACTGTGGTGGTTTTTTGAAACTTCTGAGTTTATGTATTTGTTTGCTTCTGCACAAATTCTTGGTGTTTTGAGAACAATCTGAAACCATACACAGTTGAGTTCTTCTCCAAACAAGTTGCAAATAATGTCGTAGTTTTAGTAATAAATCTCTTTGCATTAGTTTGTTCTTCATGAAAAGGTAACTCAATTAAAAAAAAAGAAAAAAAAAGGTTGACTGCCACAGATTTTTCTATTTCAGGCTAAGTTAATTTCAGTTGAGGGATATGTTCGCCAAGCGTGTAACAAGATTTGATTCTGTTTTTTCCAGTTGATCAAGACCCCAGGTACTGTAATTCATAAAAGAATGAGGGAGGGGTATTGTTCACTCCTTACTTCGTTTACTATAGTCCTTAAAATCACTATCTGAGAGGAAAAATAACCTTTTTCTGATGACAGGGGTTTTTTTTTTAACATACATTATTTTTAAATCCATTGAAACAAGCTGATTCATGTGTAATAGCTAAAAACCACTATTGTTTATATATTGTTTTCTCAGAATACAGCTCATGGAGAGGCTAGTGTAAAACTTAATTTGGAAAGTCCTAGATACAATTCTTATATTACATAAATACTTGTTTAAGGAACCTGGATTGCTTTGACATTTGAAATATGGTATTTCAAATCTGTCTAATTGTTTTTTAAATCATTCACGTAATACTCATTTTAACAACTTCAGTCTCTTTTTCCTTAAAGGCAGTATCTGTAAAGTCATGCTAAGACTAAAATGGAAAAAATAATATAATTCATGAAGCAAAATGCTTGTTGTCTGCTACATTTGAAGAACACAATCATTCAAAAAGAGTAAGTTGTTGTCTTTCAATTCCTTGCTATGGTATTGACAAACAACAAAGTTCTGTTTTGGTATGTTAGCCATTGAATTGCTAACTGTAAATTGTCACTTTCAGTTATCTGGCTTAAACTGATCTACACTACTATTTCATTGTAATATTTAAATATATTTTCTGATCTTAAAGTAACTTTTTTCCTACTAGAACTAAATTTATAAAGTTATATCACAGTGTAAACATTAAGAATTCCCTTGATGTAGCATGCCAGATGCTTACCAGTTTTTTTAAGATTAACTTATTTCCTTAGTAACTTGAAAACTGGATATGAAATTAATGTACTCATTTTAAACTGTATCTCTGAAGTTGAAAACTACAAAAATAACTTTCTTTTTTAGTACTCAAGTTCTTCCACACAAACTTGCTAGAAACAGTCTTACTTTGCCATTCATTGGAAATTATTGTGGCTGCCTTCATGCTTATGGGGAAGGATAATCATAGTTCTTCCGGGGCTTCCTTTTTAGCATTGCAAAGATTAAGACCTTCAAGTATGGTTAGGAACAATCTGAGAAAAGGTCCACTGTGCCTGGATTAATCTTTTCTCATCTTTCTTTAGCTGCTTTTACAAATAATAATAATCTACAGCCTTGCTAAAATTGGCTGTTCCCATTGTAATTTTTTTAGGAGCAACTGCAAAAAAAGATGCTAAAAATGTTCTAATTTTAAAGTAGCCTATGGAAATTATTGCTGTCTTCCCTGTACAAGAATTTGCATACTGTCCCCTTTCTCCCTTTCCATTTGATTCCCAGCACCATTTTACTTATTTTGTTTGTTCACAGATCTAGTCACTTTGCATTGTTTTATTACTGCATGCCACTTTTCTCCTTCCTCTTTACTTTTTTTTAAGAAATTGTTCCAGTGGTGTTGGTGAACTACTGTGATTCCAGAATCCCTTCTCCCAACATTTAGTATGTTTGAGATAGACACCCTTTTCCTATTTTGTTTAGGATGCTATGTCATTCCTTAATATTTGGTACAGGTGATAGGATGGCTAAAAACAGAGGCCTGCCCAATTCCTATTGTAGTTACTCAATTGTTATTTTGGATGTGAAGAAAAGTCACCATTAAAATCTTTAGGAAACTGCATTAAGGTTTCCTAATAAACTTAAGAGTTAACTAGGGTGCTTTTGTTATTGTGAATTTGTTATTGTGAATGCTATATACATTTACTGCAATAATAAGATATTAACAGTAAATTACAGAGTGAATCAACATACTGACAAGGCTTCTGGCCTTCTGTATTTTTTTCTATTTTTGTTATGACATTGAATGCAGTATGTCACATATGATTGATCTTTCATTGAAGCAATAATGTCCCAGATATTGTGAGATCTTAAAGCAGTGACATTAAAATAATTATTGTAAAGTGTGGTGACTCCCCACACAATATCTGAGAAATGCTTCACGTCTGTCATATAGTGCTGCTAATCCAGTGTGCTGGCTGGGGCACTGCTGGGGATGCAGAAAACCGTCTCTACTCATGTATCCGGAGGCTTTCCAAAATATAACCAAGAACTGAAATGATCATTAAAATATGGAGGAATACATTTGAAACAGTAAATAACTATGACATGAATCCTAAGAATTTCTGAGTAAAATCCTAGCTTCACTGAAGTCAATGCAAGTTTTGCTCTTGACTTCAGTAAAGATTTCACCTTTTTGATTTATGGATCACCTGAGCTGGAGACCATAGCAAACATGGCTTAAACTTTTTTGACTCTAGCAAAGCTTTAGTGTCAAAATTCTTAACTAAAAATAGTGATCTCTGGTAAGTCAAAGGAAGCTGTAAAATACTACACCAATTCAGTTACTAATGTAAATTTTCTGATAGGCCATATACTGTATTAAGACAGTAGGAAAAATTACTTTGTAGTACAGCTTTCATACTATGGGAAGGTATGTCACCTCAGTAAAATTGCAGGTGAGGACTACCATCAGTTATATACTGCACTAAAAACTATATAAAATATCTTATAATTTAGTGTCAGTCTTCTCAGATTTTGACATAAATCTGTAGCCAAATTCAAACAAAAAATGAAAAGGCATCTGTTTTCACTAAAACCAAATTTCCAGGTGTCTTCTCAGTATTGCGGAGGACAACAGTCTGGCACTTCTCTCTGCTGATTTCTTAAATGCTTCTATGAAAGGTAACTTGTATCTAATACATCTGTAGTCTGCCTCTTTGTGTCAGAATCAGTCTGTATACCAATGCAGAGATAAAGCATGTTAATAATTCAACTGATTTCAACTGAAAGCAACTTGTATGAGTTTTTATCGCTTTCTGTGGATAGGAGATGATTTAGTATTGGTAAATCAAATTTCTCTTTTTCCTCGGTAGATCAGGCTAATGTATGTGTTTCTTTCAAGAGGCATGTCATATTAAACAGTGATCTGTACTTGAAAAACAAAAGCAAATAACCAAAATGCCACCCCAACACACACAAAACTGATGAAATATTTCCTGTTTACGTTCTTTGGAATGAAAAAAAAAAATTAAGACCAGGAATGGGAAAGGCAAAGTATAGTTGTCCAAGGAGAAGGTGCTATGAGTTGATTTCATGTTGAATCACTTCACAATGAGAAGTCTTTAGATTTAGTAGAGAAAGAAATAGATTATGTTTTATGGGGGCAGATCCTTAAGTACATGGAACTTTCCGTAGAGGTACAAAACCAAAAAAATTGGCATCTTTCTTTTCCCAAAGACACTATATTTTGGATAGCTCCATCCCAATACTGCAGGACGTTGCCCGTTCCAAGCCGTCGGTAGGGTACCTAGCTGGTGCCATT